GCACGATATTTTACAGATTATTCCACAAGTTTTTAAACTTAAACTTGCTTCGAGAACAAAACTTTACGTTTCGTCTCTATTATCTTTAATTATTCTGCAATCGAAGAATTCCACCTCGCCTGTGATGAGGCCCACCCACATTACGAATTCTTATCACTAATTTTTACAGCATGATTCTACTTCCTGGCTCACTGTTATTTTCACTGATTAGCGCTAAATAACCGAGACTTACGCAAAATTCTAAGTGCAAACTATAATGTGCGAGTTTCTTCGGCTAACAGTAAGTGAATAAATAGGTTTCGCTAATTTTCCTTTTTTATATATTGCACATAAGCGTGGATCAATAAATAACCAGCCGAGGAAACCAGCCACGGTTTAGTTTTGGCTGGTTATTTATAGATCCACACTTATAGAATTGTCGATGTGCCAACTTGAAAACAATCATTTCGAATTATATCAGCAGCATATGACATATCTCGTTATCTAATCTCTTACTGGTTATGCAATGTGAGAATGGAAAATCTGAAACTTTAATAATATATTTCCCGAACGTAAGAATTTGGAATTGGCTTCGCCCTTTAGTAATCAATTCAATTTACTGCATGACACGTGTTACATATGTAAACAATTAACTTTCCAGTAATTATGCAAGCTTTCAATTTTTGTATACTTGATGATAATTTTCTATTTTGTCATTCATTGCCATTCACTAATTCATTATTCTTCATTTTTGTGTCTTCTTACAGAAAGAAAAAAAAATGGCGGAGATATTACCCGTTGCTATATAAACAAAAATGGCGCAGATAATTGAAATGAAACCCACACAAGCATTTGTCATTCATTGCATTATTTCACTAAAAATTACTTTTATACGAATTTAATACAACTTTTGATCGAATTAGCGCTTGAAAAATTAATAATCAAAGCATAAACTTCAAATTTATTAAAAAGTAAAACAAGTTACTTAAAATTTCCGCCATGATGATTTAAGATGCATTGTTGCCAACTTAAGAAATTCGTCGTAATTTCGAAGATAATTCATAATGAAATTAATCAATAAACTAATATTTATATATATAATTTATTTATTTATTTATTTATAATATCGTTATCAAATACGCTATTTTAAAATAAATATTTTTGTAATTACGAATAATCGTTACGTCATTTTCGATTTAGGACATAAAACCTGATGAAATTTCGACTTTCGGTCGAAAATTCCTATTCTTTTTAAACTCAATATATATATTTTCTATAATATTTACTTTATGGAAATACATTTTGTCAGAAAGAGGATATTTGGTTTTAATTATGACAATAAATATTTTCGTCACAAGTCTAATCACACCCACTTGTTTATACTAGTTAAAATTATACTTTGTTTTTTATGATAAAATAATTCATTTTATAATTACATTTTATGTAATCATTTAGCAATTGGTCCTATTTAAATCATGGAAATTGCGTACATTTCCTGAAAATAACAGACATGTCAGTTACAGCCAACGCCGCCATGACAGTGAGTGACGCGCTCGTATAACGAAGAAGCAACAGCCCGTGTGATATCGTTAAAATGTTACGAAATTATTTCTTAAAATGCTTTCAGTTTACATTTCTAACGCTAATATTAAAAGCACGTCATTCAATAAGCAATTGCATATTTTTTTTTTTGGCACGCATAATAATACGAACGCGTCGCTTCGTATGAGGATGCTTCGCGTCGCGCGCACGCGACGCAAGCATGCTCATACAGTATTTCGTTATACGCGCGGGCAGAAAAAAAATATATTTTCTGGAACAGGATACGTCCCGTAATATAAGCTCCATTTGTTTATTACATAGAGGGGAAAAAATGTAAATATTTGAGAACACTATTTTGTAAGTTCAGACAACTCTTATAATTTACCTGCTGAATATTTTTATTTTGATAAACATAACCCTATAGGGTGGTCCAAAAGTCATTTAACAGGGTAAAGACTGAATTACAATATATTTAACACGTTTCTGCCAAGTTTATTAGAGAAAAACACGAATGCCTTTCTGTAATAAACTCTGATAAATTTCTTAAAGAAATTGTTAGTTATGCGTTCAACAACTCGCGAACACGTATAGTAAATTGAATGCATGACTCATTCACTAGAACGCGAGAGACGGTTACCTGACTTTCGGGTCACCCTGAATTAACAGCTCCGATAACTTTATTTGTGTCTCGTAATATCACCCGTATTAAAATCAAAATTAACACAATCTTTCTATACTAAACATTAACACGGTAACTTAACGGGCATTAAATATTCCAATAAAGATTGATTCAACCTTTTACTATTGATAAGCAGGATAAATATTCCACACCTCGTGTAAATAAATACTTAAAAAGTTTCCGAAGCGTGTATTCTTATAAGTAAACAAATTTAAAGTCATTAAAATCGTAGTATTAACCATTCATTAAGCTTAGCTTACCTTTAAATCGTAAATCAGCATATGATGGTGAACGGGTTGAATTGTTGGAGAAATGGCCACAAGTATTCCTGTATATCCATTGTTTTCTAAACGAATCGAACTTTTGCACCAAATTCCAACGAAGGAGCAACAAAACACAAAAACGGTCACATAACGCCACATTTCTGTAAATTAAAACAAAAACCACTCGCCACGAACCGTTAACAACTTACAAAATGGAGACCTTTGAAAAGTATTCTAGATAATATTATTGACATAATTTATCACCAAAAACACCTACATAACACTCTTATCGCACCTATACCAGAGTTAAAAACCTTTCATTCGGGCGTAGTTAATGGTTAATCCCTCTTACTCCCGCCATCTTTAGACGAAATCGATGAATTATAAAAATAATCGTTACTCATTGGCTAATGATTTGCATAATACTTGTAAATATCACTCCATCGTCGCTGCGATTGGTTAAGAAGGAATTCAAATGTTAGAATATTCCAATATATTAAATTTGACTTAAAATATTATATTTTAATTAATTAATACTGAAATATAGGCTATAAGTTGGTCCACATTGTAAGAATTAGCCGAATCTGTTTATATTTAACTTAGTAAACACTTCCTGTTTGCTCACTATGATTAAGCAAAGTTTTCTTACTTTGTCATCAGAATTTTGCTGCTTCGATATTCTTAAAAACAGTTAAAATGAGTTTCGATTATTCTCAAAAATGCATATTAACTATGGCAAATATCTACTTCGTGCAACAACAAACTTAAAAATCTCTTCTCGTTACCACTAGAACCAGCTTTTGTAGAGTATTTAAACTGTTATAACATGAATTTTTCCCATATAATTGTATTTAAGTAATTGTTTAGTGCTTAAAGATAAATTAAACGTAATAAGTGACGTATTTAAATAGCTCACAAGATTGTGTTTAACGTTATTAAAATTTACATCACTTTTATTTATTTTTTATATAAAATTTAAGAATTTAAATCTCTCCCCAGGATCTGACTAAAAGCCCCGATTGTATCCCCACCAGAAGTTTATCGGACTGACTCAGAAAGCAAAAGTGTATTTTATCTCCTGAAATTTCGTCTTAATTAATTATTAAAATTTTAAAACTATTAAAAATGTTTTATAAGTAATAACGAGAAAGATTTTATTTAAAGTATCCATTATTATTTTTCTAATTTATTATAATTAAAATAAATTTTGTCTAGTTATTAAATTCGTTACNTAAGGATTGCAGGTAGAATTTTACCTAAGTCTAAATCCAATAAATCTTACTTGTGAGTTTGTCCAGTTGTAAATCTCTAGTCAATCAATTCATATGCTTCCCTTCTACTTTCAATTGAAAATAAGGAAATATGACACATAATTAATCGCTGTCCCCAGATGAATATAAGAATATCTTTATTTTAAAAATTTATGTAATTACATTACGTATTTCACAAAAAAGCAGACGAACTGGAGCGATGCGACCCATTACTGCTGCCACAAGAATTTTCTATTCCATGCTCCACTACTGCAGTAGCAATGTCTTCCATTTTCAAATGCCCAATCAGTTTGCAACTCTATCCTGGTTTCATAACAAAAGTCCCTTCAAAATGCAAAACCACTTTCCCAAGATTCCCAATAGTCAGGAGCCTCTTGGTAAATCTCTTAAATGCCAATCAGGCATTGCTTTTTCATTGATAGAACATCCACTCTTTAATTATGCTCACCTTGTACATAAATTGTACTTACTTGTTAGATGTCTTTATGGATAGGTACAGTACTCGCACTCTTTTTCAATAAAGGGACAGAAGGCATATATCCCCTAATATTTTTGTACCAGAAAATTTCCCTCAAAGACATTTTTATTTTACACCATACTAGAGTAAGTCAACCAGCAAATGTCCAGATAAGATAATACTTAATTTTCAGACAGAGATATTTTTAGACTGTCATCTTTCCGTAAAAAGATATACTTTGAGCATGCATGCAAGTTACAATTAACAAGGAAAAAAATAGTAGTCGTACAAATTAATCTCAAACTAAATCGTAACCTTAAATGGTCATTCATGGATTTAGCCAGCCTACAAAAATTAGCAGTAGAAAAGTATATTGTACACAGTAAGTACACTTGATTTTTATAGCCAATCAAAACCCAAGGATGAGAAGTTTCTCTTAGTCATTGTCATTGCACCCTCAATATATACATACAGATCAACACCAATGAGGAAAAACGAACATGAAAACATATTTCCATAAGTATTAATTCATAAGAGCAAAATTCAACTTTAAAATATAAAATGACTAGCAGATGAGCCCGGTGTTGTTCAGGCAAAAAGTAACAATAGCAAAAATTAAGATTATTAGATTATCCCCTTTTTTTACCAGGTGCAAGAATTAGGTTCACCCTCTTCCAAGACTAATTAGAGAATTTTTAGATGGGTCTGAAAACATCTTCGATTTCTCAAAAAAACCACATTTAAGATAGTACAGTAAAATCAGAAGTCAGAGTAANTGTATAAGGGTGGAACTAAAAGAATTTTAGCTCCCCTTTCTTTCTCTTTTTTTCACCTATGTCTTCTCAAGAGTCATGTTGTTCTAACTGTCACTATAATCTTAGGTAATTATGTTTTACTGTATAAACCTTTGTAAGCATATCCTAAATATTTCAATACAATCAGTAAATCTGTAACTGTAATAATTTTGCTGATAAATCTGTTATAATAGGACTGAAGAGGGGCATTAAGTCCAAAATGCATATCCTTTCCTATCAATAAACCGACCTTTTTCCACTAAAAGTGTTCCTGTGCGATTTGTTCTCAATGGCAACCTTATGATAAGAAAATACATATAGTAAAGAGAACAGCAAGCAACCAAAATCTACCAAAAACATACTTGGATCTAAACGAAGTTCAAGTAAAAAAGATATTGTTCTTACTTTANATCTCCTGAAATTTCGTCTTAATTAATTATTAAAATTTTAAAACTATTAAAAATGTTTTATAAGTAATAACGAGAAAGATTTTATTTAAAGTATCTATTATTATTTTTCTAGTTTATTACATATAATTAAAATAAATTTTGTCTAGTTATTAAATTCGTTACTAGATGGGGATACTGATACGTGATGTATCAAATTGCTCTAGTCGTTTTAACAATTAATAGCCGAATTATAAAAAAATAAATAAGACGTAATCCGGCAATTCCGGTCTCTAGTAAAAACATGCGATTGTGATTAATGTTGTATTTTATAATAAAGAAACGTTAAACAAATTATATAAGTTTTATACAATTGTGTAATGTATAAATTATATATGGAGTGATGCAGCTCTCGCTTTTCACTCCGAAGAAACAGAGGAAATGATCGCACAGCGTCCGAAGAGGCGGTCTTATAGGAGACGACCAATCCGAGGAAGACAGGAGAGAGGTCACGAAGCGACCAAAGCTGGCCTTATAGGAGACGACCCACGCGAGAAGGGGAGACAGAATGCCTTCCGAGAGGACTTGGAGGGAAAGCTGATTTCTATTTAGGTGTCATTGACGAGAAGGAAAACCCGGAAAAACTCCCGCTGCCAGCTCGTCCGAGTGAGGCGTGAACCCCCGATCGAACTCCGGTGTTTAGGGTCTGGTCACCACCATTAAGCGGAGACGGAATCCACTCGGCCACAGGTGGGCTTCTTATAAACTCTCTCCTCTCGGCGAGGGAATATGCCTCGCCTGCAGGGCCCTCGGGAATTTGTATAGGGATTGGGGTTGTGCGCCTCCGTAAGCAATTTTTTTTGAAATGTAGTAATGTTTATTAATATAAAGGAGTCTCAAAGATTTTGTTTAAAAAATAACTTTAATTTCGGATAAGTACCACTACGAGCAATTTTCCCGGGCTCCAGAGAAAAATCGCCAGATCTCTGTCTCGATGGTATGTTCCCTGATCCATATATACCACCACCCGAAGATGAAATTCCCTTTGTTTAAACAATTAACTAATTTTATATGAAAATGTTGTTCTATAAAATTAAATCGCCATATTTTACTATAAAATACTTACATTATGGGATCATTCAATTATTACGTCAGCCGCTTATGGCAGAGAAGGGATTCGCTAGTATCCCACGGATGCTGAAGATGAGGGAGGTAGAACGAATCTTTGACGACGTAATTTTATCTCCACTCATAACAAAATTGTCTGAAAATAATTCCTGTATATTTACGAATGTTTAAATTTCTGGTCTGATGACAATTAGGAGGAGCAATTTGATTTATGGCGACTGGTGGCGATGGGAGAGGGAGGATCCAAAACTTTCATTTTCCTATAAAAGTGATTCATCACCCTACTTCACTATCACATTTGAAATGTATTATTTTCAACAATGTAAGCTATATTTAATCAGGATTTTAATTTATAACCTTAACCTATAATATACTGTATAATATCTTTCCCATTCTTCAAATAATTATAAATTTAGAAGACTAAGCTGTGGTTTGTTTGGCTTGTGTGTAAATCTAACTCCGGGTTCTTGTGTCATTTTCAAATCCCTCTTCTCTAATATGAAAGTCAAATATTAATTAATTTGGTAGTAATACTGATGTTTTCACAGGGCACAGAGTAATGGGGTCCAAGGCAAGATACATGTTGAGTGCCCTATGGCAAAGTAAATTAAAGGAACTAAACATTGCAAAGAAACCATGATTTTTGGGATAAACTGATGGAGAAATGGCTACGAGTATTCTGATTTATCCATTATCTATATCTATATCTATATATAAAAATGGACATGTATGTCCCTATATTTCACTTTTTTGCCAAAACTACACATCGCACGTGAATGGTGTTTGTATGTGGTGGTAGCCCCAAGTCTCCATTCGTGCATAGGGGTGGTTGCGTCTCGATAGCTATAAGGGTGCGGGAGATATGAGGCTGAAAGTGGTTGAAAGTGGCTTTCTATTTCGAATGTTTTGTTC